TTTGAAAAATCAAAGTTGCTACTGCTTTCTAATAGAAGCGGCAACACCGCATTGTCGAAAATATTTTAGTTGGCTAGAGAATGTCCGAATATGCCCTCCATTAAATTTTCAAAGTGATCCGTTGTCTGGTTCACCAGAAACGTCTAATGTGCCATCCACCGTGAATCAGCCTGTATTCTGTAAAATCAAATAATGGAAGAGTAAGCCTCAATAAGGCAAGTTAAATGTTACTTAAGTGTATTTTTTTTTGTACATGAACTTACCTACCTTTCGAGATATTCACATAAAAATTATTAGTGTGACTGCTTGTTAAATTTTATAGAAATATTTTCGGCATATTCAGCATCAGACAATATGTAATTTTTATTATAGATCTTCAGGTTATTTGCAATAGGACATACAACTTTCTGTCAGTATCAAGTAGAAAATACAAACATGTATGGACAACTTCCTTCATTTCCTCTGACTTCATTCTTATTCTCCCACATTCTTGCAAATACCTATTTTGCAGTTGAAATTCAATAATATTTTTTTACATTAATTAATATATGGTCAATAAAATTCATTTCAGTTTGCAGTCGCTGAACATTTCTCATATGGAAATGCCATGGCTTTATGTTCAATGGATAAAAGAGTTACTACAGAAGTGATTGATTCCTTTTCTCATGATGATTTGGAAAATGTGAGACATTTATTATCTTTTCGAAAACTTGTGGAAGGAGAATCATATGAAAACAGAATCAAGATTTTAACTGATGATGACTACTTTAAGCAAATATTAAGGGATGAAATTAAAAAACTTCAAAAATATATCAGGCGGTTTCATATGTTCTTATACATTTTGTGTGTACTGGTGAGAGACCTGCCCAAAGCTCCACTTGGTATTCAGGTAAAAAGTAGCTTAAGTGGATATCACATTTTTTATTTGAGATGGGAGGTAAATATTGTACATTGCATTCATAATTTCTTCGTCACAAAGATAACTGAAAATATCCTGTGCGTCCAGAATTAAGAATTTCAGACTTAATAACAGCTGAATGAGCCTTTTTCCTAAGAATAGTACAGCGAACGTGTCACGAGAGGCAGCACTAGTAGTAGGAACAAACATAAATTATTCACATGTAAAACAGTGTTATTTACGTAATATTAATTTATTATTTAAAAATATAAATCTGATATAAAAAATTATTTTGTGCTAGTATAATGCCAATAAAGCATTGCTGTTTTGCGAATTGTACGTCGGATAATCGATATCCGGAAGAAAACGTGTTTT